TTTTTTTTTTTTTTTTTTTTTTGTTTTGTTTTTTTGTGTCTTATACTCACCTTCGAAAGCTTCTCTTCAGTCTTTGCGATAATAGTCTCAAAGGACTCCCTGTGTGTGAAAATTTTCCGACTTTGAACTTTACGATGAAAGGATTTATCGAGCATTGGACGTGACACCTGCAAGAAGAAGCGAAAGTTAAATTTAAACACAAATAATTAGCATCTACTGAAGGCCTTTGTTTATTAAAGAGAAGGCACTCTTGCTTCGCCTCATCCATGGATGAAGAGATAATTGCTTTTGCGCATAATTGAAATTGCAGTTGTGAGGCAAGGTGTACCAGCAGCAGCGGGTTTTTATTTGAAGTCCAAACGGTGGGGTTTACTTCGCTGCTACTTGCAGACATACCCTTTGGATGCTATTCAGCGCAGCAGATTGAAGAATATATAAGAAATACAGTTCGACATGGCGTTTACGCAACTTGCTGCAGTTTAGGACGGCTTGCAAAAAATTCAACGATTATGTTGAGAAAACATTATAAGTAAAAATATTTTGTCTTTGGCATCAACCCACGAAGACGACAATAACTACAACTTTGGGCACGGAAAGCTTATTCTTCACTTCCACCTTCCAGTAAATCAGCTCACATAAATTCAAGAAGATATCGCACACATTCACCGTTATAGATATATGTAATATATCTCGGAGTCACCTGAGTTGCCAGTGGTCATCGTGGCTGCATTTGATCAACTCACCGCCGCAACTGCGGTTGCGGTCAGTACTGAAACCTGGACATTACCAACACGCAAACACACGGACTTATCTGAGCTGGCTCTTGCGCGGCTGCACACCAAAAGCGTTAATATTATTTCGGCCGTAATGCAGCAACCACATCGACAGCAGCAGTTGCGAAGATAAATTTCACTTTACGCCTTGTTAGTTTTTAACGGGACTCACCTGACGCGAAAGCACGTTGGCCACATCGTTTGACGCCTGAGAATCGCTCTCGACCTCTTGTAGGAATGTTTCCCATGCTTGGAAAATTGCCTGATGGCAGGCAGGTCTGCAAACAGAAAAAGACAAAGGAAAAATAACAATAAAAATAAACACTTACACACAATTTTTAGTATGACCCATTACCGGCATGTCATTATCCTCCACCGTGAAGACCACATTCCAAATAACTACCAAACCTATATACTCTCGCAACTCAAGGCTTAAAATTTAATAACACAACATTCTCTACTAATAGTTAACCGTTACTTTGGTGCTTGGTGAAAAGCGAATACTCGAGTACTTAATCCACAGCACTTACCTTTCTTTGCGAAGTTCTGCATTCTTTTTACGAAAATTGGAGACTAAAGATTGTAGGGCAGTTGCATGTTCCTCGTATAAATGGGAGAGGGTTTCGGTGAAATCAGATACTGCAAGAAAAGACAGGAGATTATTAGCATTAAAAATCAGCGATGCCCATTTAAACGCAAGTCACAAAATAAATATTTGTATTTTCCATAAATGCCAACTGCAAATACAACTTAATCTGCAACATAACAGCCGGCTTCTGCCTACAAATCCAAATCTACGAGCCGTCGGCGGTCTGTGTGGCTGCATCGTCGCTTTTCTCACGTGGATTCGAGTGCTTGGATAAGAGGATATAAGACACTGCGGTTTGTTTGTGCGTGCACTTGGCTGTAGGGAATTTGAACTTACAGTCGCACGTGCCAGCAAACTCGGCGACTTTGCGAGCTCCGAGGCTTTTGGAGGCTATTAAAAGTTTCGAATTGAATTTGATCAACTCTGCAGCAGACTGGAATCAACCGACGCCACGACGTGTAAAATACACACACTTATGCATCTTGTGGCGCACTCTGCTGGCTAACAGAGAGTCAAAAGTCGAAAAAGCCGTTAATAAAGCGCGATTGTTTTTGTTCCTTAAATAAATTATGCATAAATCCGCAATAAGTGTAGGTAAATTTAAACGACGGAGTCCTTGGTTATCACTGGCCACTGACCATCGAAACTGAGTGCCACAAAGCAATAAATGTTGCGTTCGGCACTGGTATTCGAAGATCACAGTGAAGATTTGCGAAATTCACAGAACTTGAACAACAATCTGATAACTATAATCAACTGTTCTGAAGGGCTATGCGGGCACTTTCAGATCCCGGTTGCTCTATGCTTGCAACGTGACCTATCGAAACGCCTAGCAGCGATCGCTTTTGTTGTGCTTTGCCCTTTACATCACGACTTCTTCACACTGCCTTAGCGGTTTCCCCAGGGCATGCACTTGAAGCGACTAGCATCAGCGATTACTCTCACATGGCAGACAAACAATCGCATTGCCATGCTAAATTGAATTATGGTTGATTTTGAAGTGGCTTTCTTTGATTGTGCTCAGCGTTTAAGTGGATGGGCGAATGGGTGACAAGCAAGTGGGAGAAGTGGATTGTCATATTGAAAGCTGGTAATAAGAGCGTAAATATTTGTTCGTATTTATGGGTTGTTATGTTGGCGGCGGTGGCGCTGAAAGTTTTCAAGCTGAGGCAGCAGCAGAAACGAACGATGGAGCGTAGATTTTCAAAAACGTCGCACTGAACTGAAGCGTTGCACTTCAGCTTTGCGATACTTTGCATTTGCACTGGCAATCAATAATATAATAAGTAATATTTGTAAGCGCAAAACTGCTAGCACCGGCTTTTGGGTGAGATCTTGATGCGATAGCTCTCTGTGATAGCCTGGAGTTGATGTTGAGTGCAGCAGATCTCGAAGTATTTGCGTACTACTAATAGCTACTATGAATAAATGCTAATAATCCCTTATATATATGCTGGACATTTCTCTAAACAATATTTATCCATTTGTTTAAAGAAATCGAAATGCATATAAGTAAATGCCTTGCAAAAGAGTAAAATCTTATAGAAAGAAAAATAAAGATAAAAAATAAATTAACAAAGTCAAACACATTTTTAAATCTAAGAGTGGTCTTTAAATCTTTCCATATATGTGAATCGAAATTGAGATTTATACTCTAATCCAATCTTTAAAGAATATACACCAGCTTTCCGAAAAATTGTCTGTATTATTAATTGCCTATTTCGCATGAGCAAACATTCAGAAATTTTGAAAAATAAGAATTAAAGAAAATTCAATCTGCTCCTTCCTAAGATATATGCTTTTTGAGAACCGAATGGCTTACACCTAAAATAAGTTTCTTTGTTTTTCTTGGGAATTATTTTCAACAAAATTGAGTTTCACTGAGCGGAGCTTATGTGTTTGTATATAAGTTTGTATGTGTGCAAGAAAGTACAGTGCAAAATGGACTAATAAATTGCATGCAAATTTCTGCAATAACTGTGAACTACAATAAAGAGAGTACACTCGTCGACTTGCTTTACCAAAAGTCCATAAGCAACAAATATCTTCAGCGCACTTTGAACGCAATGAGTAAGGTAAACAGATTTGCGGTCATCTTCTGTGAGCTTGAATGCATCTTATTAAATAATTGAGCGTTAGCTCACCAATTTTTGACACCCTGTCAGTTTGGTATTATCTCTTAGCAACACTGGTGTTGACCGCGCAGCTTGATGCAACCAATAACGGTATCAGATGCCTTGCGTCTCACCACTAGAAACCTTATTCAAATGTTTAAGCCAACAACACGACATCTTAAGATACAACTCTGAAAATAACCAACTCAGCCCACAGGGATTCGAAGGCTCTTAACCTCTTAACTTAGCCTCCTTCGCTCGCTTCTTCGGCAGCATTCGAGTGGCATATGAATTTTGCATAAATTTTGTAAAAGTAAGTGGTAAAAGATATCAAATACAGTACCATAAACAAATCGATGTTATAATTTTGTCAGTGCTCCAGCCCTGCACAAGTGCCTGCGCACACAAACCTTCACATTCACATGTAGGTGATATGCATCAGTAGAGCAACACATATCTGGCTCTCGAATGGTGCAGGCACTTCAACTTTGCCATTATTGTTTTCAGGAAAAGGGTGGCATTCGAAAATGGAAATCCTTCGAGCAACACATATTGTAAGTTAATCAAAACAATTTACAGTATGTGTGTTGTATGTATGTAGGTAAAACGAACTATAACTTCGATTATGTCAAAAATTGTAATATAATAGTATATAAAATTCAAGATACCTGACCTTTTAAAAACAGTCAATAGCCACCCATGACACCCTCGCCTGGAACTCCACGGCGTAACATAAGTTCTAAGTACGAATTCTCAACAGCCCCGGCAGCCTATGAGATCAATCTGATCAAAATCCATTTGTCTTAAAAGAATACTCCCACCCCGCTGTAAACTGATGCAATGGAAATGAAAAACATTAAGAGCTTCTCGTGTTTATTGCGGATCAGTGACCAAGATTCCTATTTAAGAGAAACTTTAAAGTGCCACTCATATACAATTGTGCGTGCAATATTCTTCCGAATTTTCTCATTTCCTTTATGCAATATAAGTGAACCACCCTAATGCCAAAAGCAAATTGAATATCAAGTTGTCTAGTGCAGATGCAATACCCAAAACGATTTTCAACTGTCAAATTAATAATGCAAAGATGCTCACATGAAATACTGATAGAGCGTTTTCCCCCTTTGTTAGCCTCAGAGTTCATTACTCACATCCAAATTATAGCAGCTGCAAAATATTTAATTTATTACGCTTTTGGCACGCTCGCACACCTCGGGCTGGTACTAGCTTGAAGTACACTCACTCACATACACACATACTTAAGAGAACATGTACAAGCAAGCACTTAAGAAACATCTCTGACTAGAAGGAGCGAGCTTACAAGTGGGCAAGAGGAGAACTCAATTGCACGGACCGGAAAGGAAACTGTTATTTAGCGACTGAAATTGAATTGACTACAACAATTTTTTTATTTTTGTATATACTGATCAGGGTTTGCCGCTCAGTGTGTTACACCAAAAGGAAGCATCGGAGAACCTAAAATTGTATATTTAAATGATCATTATGTGCCACTATATGGTATAAGCGAAGACATCCGTGATATCAACCTGAGCTTTCTCTCCCCCCAAGAAGGTGATCGCTTCTCGCATCGCTGTTATCGTACAACTATAGCATATATCTGCCAAAAAAACTGACCGATCAGAGTCATACCCACATATAGAAAACTTCTTCATTTAAGAAGATATTTTCACGGGGTTAGGTTAGGATGATTTGGTAGGCCAATAAGCTACGCATATACCAGCTAAGTGATTTGCGATATTAGATGGAGTTTTGTTGCTAGGTCGAGGAGTAATCATCGTTTAGGTTGCCTGCACTTGACGCGAATTTTAACAGACTCTGCGGCCTCAATATCGATATTTCCTCCAGTGTATTATACCGTTGGGACCCGAAATGCTTACAGCGCAGTCTTGCCAATGCCGCACAAATATACGAGAGCTCTATTGTTTTCCTGGTGCCCTGCAATCTTAACAACCTGTCAGTCCCATCCTCCGGACGTGTGTCTCCACCAGACAAAGACCTGTTAGTATTCCATCAGGTTTTGATTTTATTTGTCATGCTTCTGTCAAGATTGTGTTTTAGGATGTTAGCCGTAAATTTTTGACAATCTCGTCTCGACAATGAAATATCCTCGGTGCCCTTGTGCCCTGGCACCCAGTAGAAGTGAAGTTGCTTACTTCTGGCAACACTTTCCACAGCTAAACTGCTTCCCAAGACACTTCTTCTCGATATGGGGTAAGAGGTTACTGCCTTGATTGCTGCTTGGCTGTCTTTCTTCTTCTTAATTGGCGTAGGCACCGCTTACGCGATTATAGCCGAGTTAACAACAGCGCGCCAATCGTTTCTTCTTTTCGATACGTGGCGCCAATTGGAAATTCCAAGCGTAGCCAGGTCCTTCTCCACTTGGTCCTTCCAACGGAGTGGAGGTCTTCCTCTTCCTCTGCTTCCCCCGGCGGGTACTGCGTCGAATACTTTCAGAGCTGGAGTGTTTTCATCCATTCGGACAACMTGACCTAGCCAGAGTAGCCGCTGTCTCTTAATTCGCTGAACTATGTCAATGTCGTCATACGTCATATATCTCGCAAAGGATCATAAATCTTTCGCAGAACGTTTCTCTCGAAAACACGCAACGTCTACTCATTAGTTGTTGTCATGGTCCAAGGCCCTGCACCATATAGCAGGACAGGAATTATGAGTGACTTATAGCGTTTGATTTTTGTTCGTCGAGAGAGGACTTTGCTTCTCAATTTCCTACTCAGTCCGAAGTAGCACCTGTTGGCAAGAGTTATCCTGGGTTGGATTTCTAGGCTGACATTGTTGATGGTGTTTACGCTGGTTCCAAGATAGACGAAATTATCTACAACTTCAAAGTTATGACTGTCAACAGTGATGTGAGTCCCAAGTCGCGAGTGCGACGACTGTTTTTTTTTTGACGACAG